AGTATATTTAATTTATCTGACCCTTTCATATTTTACATTGGCAAATTTTCGTCAACTACTACATTGACCATAGGAAATCAAACTCTCATTGTCATTGATGGACTTTTTAAAGAAAACAAATGGGTTGACATAAAATTAATTTAACCATTCTAACGCATTTTGCTACAATAAAACGGACAAAATATTTTGGGAGTTACATACTTAATAATTAATAAGAAAACTATGGAGAAATGGTAAAAAACCTAGTAAAAGCTCTTTAAATCATTTTAATGATTGATTGAATACTCTGCAATCAAAAAATAGATTTCATAAATTTACTCGACCACAGTCACATAACCAACAGTCAGCACAATGGCAAATAATAAAGTCCTGGCAGTGTCTAAATTCATTTTCCATTTCTGGCACAAATCATAGTCATTGTTACTCTAGAGAACTTTTTATTGCGTCTTCAACAAGGATGAGTAGTAACAGATGATAATGGGTAAATAAAAAAAAATAATAATAATAAATTATTAGTGCCAATTATTTACTTCAATGAAATTTGTTTCACTATAGTAACAAGGATATCGCCCGTATTATAAGTTGACACTTTCAACATAAAGAAAACTAAACAAATCAAAATCGGAGAAACTAATGGGAACTTGGATTGAATTTTGTTGAAATGGTCAATTAGCATATGGGATAATATGAAATTTGGTCCAGGATTTGTTCTCTATCTTCTTCGGTTTACTATCTTTTTTGGTTATCATGAAAATCAACACCTCACTATACTATTTTCCATTGATTTCATTAATTAAAAAATAATACTAATGTGGGGTCGGACAAGATTTTAAAGCTGGATATACTTAAAACATTGTATAATTGAGGGCCTTAAAACAAAATTATTGCTAAATATATTATGCTCACAACGATAGAAACAAGAAAATATACCCACCACAAAAAGATGTGTTAATGTATAAAAAGAATGGAAAAAAAGAGAAAAAAAAAAAAGAAAACATGTGATTCCAATAATTATCAGCGGATATTTCCCATTTACTGGCGGTTTTTTAATTAAAACTCTTCTGCTCTGTGGTATATAAATTCACCCACAAAACACACACAAACATTAAAAACAACACATGGATAACAGCTGTGTAGTGTGTGTCTGTGTGTTTTGGTGAGGTGTGGGGTCTTTCTCTTTTGTCAGCAGAAGAAAAATCCAGTCTTTTTTCTTTTTTTTCGGTTTCTTTTTACTTTTATAAATCATTACTTCACCCACACTCACTCAACTATTCCTCACTCCATTTCCCGCTCCTTCTTGAATTTCATTACTCCTATTTGACCCATTTTGTTGTGAAGCCCACACAAGGGATAGGGACAGAGATATGCACACATCCATACAGACAACAGAATAAAGCAGAAAATATTCACAACAAAAAAGAGAGGAGGAAATGGGAGATAGAGTTGAGAGCTCTGGAAAAAAAGAGAGTAATAGAGAAGAAGGAGAAGTAATGGACACTCCAGAGAGAAGCAAGAACTGCCAGATCGCAACTTCTATCAGCAAATTTGAGGTTTTCTTTGATTGATTTTGGATAAAGTTCGAATCTTTGTTGTCTTCAGTTTATGTAATGTGTAAATTTTATTTTTGGTGGGGCTTTTCATCTCTCTGGCTTTGCCTTGATTAGTGCTGGATTTTGGGGGTTTCTTAAGTTGATGGCATGTTTTGAGGAAGTGGGTTTTCAGTGATTTTGCTTCTTTTCTGGATCTTGGATTTATCCTTTGGTTCTTAATTCTGGTAAAAATGCTGTTCTTTTTCATCATTATTTCGGTGTTTTTGGATGGAATGAAGCTTGGATTTTGCCCCTTGATCTGGCAGATTATATTTGTTTCCAGTATCATCTTGTTCAGTTTCCTAAGTGTTAGTGGTTACAAACAACACTAAGTTTCGCATTTGACTGGAAATTCGCTCAATTTTTTACCAATGAAGTGTTCATTTTCTTTAATTATTGGGTGTAGCAATTTGACTGCCAAAAAAAAAAAAAAATGCATGTGTTGGGTGTTTCTGTCTCCTTTTGTTGCATCCAACTCCTTTGTTTTACTGTGCATGGCCGCTGATAAGAATGATTTGGTGAAAATGTTTCTGATTTTGAGTAAATTTTCAGATTTCATAAATTTGTAGCTATTGAGCTGTCTATTTTCCATATTAATTTGAACATCATATCATTTTGCATGTTCTCTTAGTGGCAAAGTGTGTCTCTGATCTACTGGAAAATTGTCTTAGATTAATGCCTCTCATCTCCTTTACTTCTCAGTTTCTTTCTAGCAAGATGACAAAAAGTGTAGTTCACATGACAAACTGAATGGCACTCTGTAGTTAATCTTCATTAGTAACACATAAAGCAACATTGTGATTGCTACTCGAGTGGCCGACTTATAAGAAGTCTAGGAGTTCATTCATTTCGACTCGATTTCAACTAGTTCCGACTTGTAACATATTATTCTCACTACATGATTTTAATATTTTAAAGCCTTCTTTTGCAGGAATCCCCAGTTTTCAACTTTCTCAACAGCCTTTCGCCCATTAGACCCGTCAAATCCATACACATCACTCAGACCATAAATCCCCTTAGCTTTGCCTCCCTCCCGTCCGTTTTCAGCTCGCCCCATGTTCTTAAAGAATCAAGATTTTTTAAAAGGTAAGAAAGCAAGGAAAAAAAAAAAAAGAAGAACAAGAGTGAAAAAGAAATGGGCATATTACTATTTGATAAACAAGCCTTCTTGTTTTAACCGGCTTTCCACTCATTTTTCAGGCACCAGCTTTCGGATCCGTCAAAACCCGAGTTCTCATCCGATGACCACAACACGCTCGAGCAGAAAATCACAGATAACATTGCTACTAATGTTAAGCAATCGGACGAACAGAAGGAAAATGTGGACCCGAGCAAATCCCATGATTGCATGAAGTTTGTGGTCGACTTTCCCGAAGATTACGACTGCAATAGCCCTGAACCGAGCATGAAAGACAGAAACTTGAAACTTGTTCCTTTTGTGCCGGATCCAAGTAAAGAAGGGTCTTCGTGTGATTGGGAGGAATTGATCAATTCATCAGATCTGTTGATATTTGAGTCCCCAGCTGTGGAGGGCAGCCAACGGGAAAACATTTTCACTCAGCCAGGGGACGGGAGTGAGATTACGGATGCTGACGTGGCCCATCATTTTAGTATGGGTGATGAAAAGATGGATCATGAGGTAAAAAAATGTGTTCTTTTTTACTTTGAGATTGTGTTTGGTAGCTAAATAAATTACTGAAATTCAGATACCTGCTTGAGTTTGTAAAATCTATATCTATATATATAATTGTTGGCAAGCCTTCAATAAGTTTTATTCAGCCAGCAACTAATAAAAACAAAAACCGGACTTCATTTAATAAAAATCTTTATGACCAGCATTCAAAATGGCAATTACACAAGTAAAATCTTATTATTATTATTATTATTAATTTTTTTATTTTGTAACAGTTTTACAAGATTTTAAATTTTCTGAATATGCAATATTAAATTTTTTTACAGCCAATATTCATATTTTGTATTATAGTTATACAATAAAAAAAAAAAAACTGATTTATATGGAAGTTAAATAATTTATATTTATATTATACAGTTACATATAGTCAAAATTTTAAAATGTGATAATAAATTTCCAAATATCATATACGTACATCTAATATATAAATTTTTGTTTCCCTCTGTGCACATGCACATCGATTGAATACTAGTTCATAACTATGAGTCAATGTTTTTTCTTTTAAATTGAAGAAACATGTTGGCCTATTCAAAAATTCTAACAAAACTTATAAATGAACTCTGTTTTCCCCATTTATTTTTTTCTTGTAGCATCTTTCGGGTTTGTACCGAGGCATGAGGAGAAGGTGCCTTGTGTTCGAGATGGGTGGGGCTCGCAAAAAGCAGTTGAACGAGAACTCGGCTCACAATCCTTCTTCAGACACCATCTCTGGAACTGAGTCGACTCGCCGCATGTTGCCCGGCATTGGCCTGCACCTGAATGCACTTGCATCGGCTCCGAAGGATACTTTGACCTCCCGAAGACTGTTGATTGGCCCTTGCTCGTCTGTCGATTTTCATCCACCAGATGCTGGTCGGGATTTATTAGAGAGTGAAGCTGAAGGTGTGGAGAATAATGGTGCTGCTTTGTCTGTGGTGGTTGAGGATGATGACAGCCAGCAGTGTGAGTTGGTGGTTAATGAGGAGAACAATCAGAGTATTAGTCCCAAGAAAAAGCGGTTCGACTCTGCCTCTGATTAT